CACACACACACACACACACACACACACACACACACAGTATTATCACATTGTTTATTGCGTTTATTGAGAGATTAAAAGTTAATTGCTTTTTATTGAGCTTAATTCTGCACGTTTTTTTGTATTACGCTTGTTTATTTTAATTCACCATTTTATCTTCGCGCGTATTACGTTGTTATTTAAGCAAGTTTTTAAAGCAAGTTGACGTGTGCGGTGGGGCTGACTGGAAGAAAATACCGCTTTCTGCACTTATAAATTATTGTGATATGTGTATATACTAGAAATACTGACGGCGTAATTAAATTTCTCGCAACAAAAAATTTAAAATTGGTAAAATCTTGCTATCACACAGTTTTTGTAAAATCTCGGGTCATTGCCAGAGCCGTGTATGATGTACATTATTTATTTCGACCTTTACAACGATAGATGGCAGCAGTGATCCGCATGTTTTAAATTGATGCTTGAAGTCAAGGCCTTGCTTGAAGTTGCATTTTTGTTGTGTGGGTTCGGTTTTATACTTTGTTATTTTCTGTTCTCATCTGCTAGACCTAAAGAGCAGCTTATAAACAAGGAGCTGTTGAATGCATCGTGCTTGACACCTACACGAAGCGCTATATTTTGTCTTTGTTGCATTTGTTTTTGTTTACAATGAATATAGTACTACTACTCAGCACTAGTACTACTAAGTACTAGGCCTAGTTTGAGTATAGACAAAAGACGTTGAAAAGTTGCCACGTTACTCGCTACGACACTAATGTGATGGTGGTGACTATTCTCTGTGAGTGTGACTGTGGGCAATACCCCAACCGTAATTATACCTTGTTGCTTCGACTGCGCGGGATTAGGTGTCCCGTCTGTACTGTAGATAATGATACTGTACAACATGAGCACAAGAATGAGATACGTCGTGTGTCTCGGAGTAGTCATCGTGGGGATCTTCTTCTTACGAACGTACGACTCGTACGGACTGCTGCCAAACCACGCGGCTGTCCCGAACCGTTTCGTCACGGTCACAGAAGCTGACATGTGGAAAGATCTTTACAGAGAAGAGCAGCCTGAAGGCGATAAACCTCTATGCCCCACTATGCCACATAGTATGGGTAAGACCTTGGCCTTCGCCGTTACCTGATGCAATGGCCACAGGCACTTGGAACGTCTCATACGTCTTAAAACGTAAATAAACACGAAATGTATTTACTACTAAAGTCTTAATGTTTCTCTAGGCCTATTCTATTTCGCCTATTATTGCCGATAATCACCTGTAAATGTCGGTCAACTGCTCATCTGCAACACACAAGTACCGCCGCACGCACGCCCTGTGCACAAACAACATGAATAAGAGAGGAATGCTTGCGGTGTACTTGTGTTTTGCAGATGAGCATTTGACCGGCATTTACAGGTGATTATCGGCAATAATAGGCGAAATAGAGTAGAGAAACATTAAAACTTTGGTAGTAAATACATTTCGAGTTTATTTACCTTTTATTTTATTTATTGAGACTTTCCAAGTGCCTGTGCCAATGGCAAATGCCAAAACTACTGCAATACGCAGTGTTGATCTATCGATTTGATCAACTTGTCTCTCCATCTTCGTTATAGTCCTTGGACATTTGAAGACTACTATTTATGAGGTTATGAGTCACTTACTTTGAGGTATAAGGGCCCATGCCTGAGACCGCTACGGCAGTGCCGGACGCCGGAGGCTCGACAGTCAGCCCCGTGTGTGAACCCTATACCGGTGAAGGCAGCCTGAGACGCGATACCCGCCGGAGTGCACCCTGAGGACTGGCGAGGGCCTCGTACAAGCACCCGAGAACTGGCCAAACTCTACAAATACCCCGTACGACCAACGTCGGACCGTCACCCCGGAACGCGAGACTCACAGGACGCCCACACCCCAGGCCTACTCTCTTTCACCTACGGCTACACCGCGATAGTTTCCAACCACTGCATTACGGCTGCCATTGCTCTCGCGGCGCGACTGTTGCACGCTTACACTAATATAGAGAGATATAGAGATATATTAGTTGTAAGCGTGCTGCAACAGTCGCGCCGCGAGAGCAATGGCAGCCGGTAATGCAGTGGTTGGAACTAATCGGCGGTGTAGCCGTAGGTGGAAGAGAGTAGGCCTGGCTAGTATAGTATAGAAACATTAAGGAATTTTGTGTCTAAGTAAATAGATTTCGTATTTAGTTAGCATTATATTTATTGAGAACGCTTCAAGTGCCTGTGACAGTGTAATATTTATGTTGAATGTGAACCTTTACCTTTTAAGATGATTCAATTTTACTGTCTAAGATCCAAAGAGCGGGTGTTGGCTGTTGCACTGAAGTATGAACCTAGTAAGAACTATAGAATATAAATATTATATATATAAGAACTTATAGTACGAACTATGAAGTGTTGCACTAGTACTACTAGTAGTACCGGTATGTACTATGAAGTGTTGCACTAGTACTACTAGTAGTATGTACTATGTAGGTACTAAGGTAGTACTCGTAAATATACCGGGACACCGGCACAGGCCAGTGGCATGTACCCTGGGCCTCCGGAGAGGACAATACGCTAGTACTTCATTAGCACCCTACTGTTTTTAGGCCATGGCACATGCAGTGAGAGTGTTAATATCAGCTCTCAACATTAATTTTTTACTTCACTTCTTCTTCTTTCTCCTCCTCTCTCCTCCTAGCTTCTTCGTCGTCCGTCCTTTTTTTTTCTTTTATTGACCAACCGCGCCTTGGACTCCTGCTTGTGTAATGTTCTGTTCTGTGCAGTCACAGTAACGCATTAGCAACACACCGGTACCGACTGGCGCGTCGGTTCCGCGGGTGCGAGCGAAGGCAATTCGCTCCTGCTTCATCTCGCGACAGTTACAATACTCTCGGAGTTTCATCAGTTTTGGATGGTTTGACGGTGAGAAATTTGATTTGAACTTTCTCCTGAATTACCGGCGGAGTTATTCCGCGCGCACGTACACATTCATTGGCAAAGCGCTGTAAGTTGCGGTTGGAACGGGTAAATAAGCCTATTCTTTACATGTACAATCAAATTCAATCTTGGTTGTAATCTCATTAAGAGTCTATGTAATTGATCGGCTCAAATCATGGGCTAAATAAGATCTGTAGCTTTTATGAATTTGATTTGTAGATACATGGACTACTATGTGACTTGATTTCGTATTTTCGTAAATTGATTTGTAATGTTATAAATTCATTTAGAATCTTGTAAATGATTCGTAAACATGTAAATAAATTGTAGCTTTTATGAATTGATTTGTAGATACATGACTACTATGTGACTGATTTGTATTTTCGTAAATGATTTGTAATGTTATTAAATTCATAGATTAGTAAATCTTGTAAATTGATTCGTAAAATGGCTA